AAGTACATGATGAAGAGATTCGTTTGTCGATCTCACCAGATGAGGACAGATGAAAATCGTTGTACTGCAGACATAGCTTTTATATTATATTCATGTTGACGCAGTCGACGAGTATTCCTCCCTCGTTTCGGGTGAAAACGTGCTGAGCTTTGGTCCATCATCAGAGCTGGGTTTCATTATTGTAAGAGCCTCACATTAACACTAAAGCAAGAACACTTTCTGGCTTCATCTTACTACTTATATACACTCAGCGAGTCAATAGATTGAAAATTACAAATCTAGACAGATCGATATAGAGTGGTTTGGTTAATTTTCTTTCATTTTCGTTCTGTTATTTTTGCTTGATTGTATGAGAATGCATATTTGCGTCTTGATGCAATACGGTTCTTAAATCACAAAGATTAAATCTCTTGTTCTGCTCCTTAAGACTTAATAATTCAAGAGAAAATCTTTGCCTGAGACTGTTTAAGTCGGTAGATAAGTATTGTTGGGATAATGAAGGTCCCCCTAATAATAATAATAAGTAGTTAAGTAGTGCATTTTGAGGGAGCCGCGTGATTGTGCCTTCTGGAAGGGTGCATAAATTAAGGCATGCCGGCTGCCAATAAAGATAGGGAACAACAGCAACACGGCAAAGGGCCTTTGTCCTCGTGGCAGGCAGAAACGTGAGGATGGAAAAACCGATCGATTGGGCTAATTGAAAGTCGAGCTTTATTGATCGTAAAAAAGGCAGCACGGTCTGAACGGGCAGCAAGCGCAATGCATGCAGGCATGAGTCATCCGGCACGAAGAGAGCGCAAACCGGCTAAGACAGCAGCCATAGCAGACGTGCGAACAGAAGGCAGTGTCAAGGTCATTTTAGCAGGAAAAAGCGGCCTGCCCGTAGATGTTGAAGGCTTGACAGTGTGCGTCTGACGCCAGTCTGGGTTGCTAGGATTCACTTGCCCATTGGTAATGCTAAAAATAAAACAAATATATATAACATTACTATATAGATAACAATATTAATAATTAATAATTAATATTAATACTTATAATAGGCATAACATTATTTATTGATTACTTGTTTAAGTAATTTATTAATTATGATGCTACCTATTATGCATAATTCTAATAATCCTAGACATCACGTTATAAAGCACGACAGCACAATGTGCTTTTCCACATTTAACGAAGGCCAACCAAGACATTTCATTAAAACTAGCTTCTGAATGTGTCAACGGGAGACTTAAGCATACCTGCACAGATAAATCAGGGTCGTGGAACAGTGCCGCAGACTTCTTTTTACAAATCAACAATTGCAACCAAATCGCAACCCTCCTTCCATGTATTAGAATAGAGTATGTTGATTGTGAATGAAAACTGAACTTGCCATCGATTGCATAAGGTGATGAAGGACCACTGGTAGTCTAGTATTGTCATATTCACTGAATTTCGCTTAGCCCGACCTTCAAATAAGTATTAGTGTCCAGCAATTTTGTGCAACTCCAATGAAAAGTCCTTCATCAACTTTGCGACCAAGGAATAATCAGTGATGCTAAGCTACGAGTCTCTTTCGACCTAATTTTTGCAGCGAAATGAAGACTACATCAAAATGAAACTGCTCAGAACTGCAGATGGCCGAACATGGTTTGTTGATACAATTGCGTGTGCAGGCGTTTGTGTTTATGTTGAGGCTGGGCGGATAAGCGCTAAGGGAACTTAAGCAAATGGGGACTGGTTGAAGCACAGGCCAAGGCAGCTGGAAGTGAGACCACAAAGCTGTGAGGTGTACCAAATTTCA